TTTTGACATATTAACGGATTTTTTTTGTTTAATAATTCTAAAACGATCAAAATGTTGTAAAATTGTGTGTAAAAGTTGATGAATACTCAACTTTGCGCAAATTTTTTATTGGATTCTACAAGTTATTGTTAGTATGACCAACTTGAACGCGAATTCTGAATTTATTTTATCAATTTCAGTTTATAAAAGAATGAGAAGTTAAAGTGATGTAGCATTAAAAGTATATTCCAGAGTAGAAGAAATAAAAATAATTTAAGGCTTGCTTTATCTCATTAAATTCAGTTATTTTCATTTTAAAACAATTCAGTTTGTTTCCTTAGTTTAGGTCTTTGCTATAAACCACCTTTGATCATTGAATAAAATAATAGCTTCTTCTTCCAATTCTCTTTCTTTTCTCCAGTGATCTCTCTGTCTTGTTCATCTCTGGTTGCTTGTCTTCGTAATAAAGCCATTTGAACACAACATGACTTGTGCACTTAATGACACCCAACTATAACTAACGGCTTTCTACAGCATCTGCCTCGTCTTTCCTTCCACCACTACATCTGATTATTTTTTTCTCTATTCGGTTGGTGTATATTTATCCAAAGAGTATCGAATTAAATAGAGAAATTCTTATTAAGAACTTAGAAGTTACTTTCACATGGACTAACTCAATAGGAACTCAAACTCTGTATACAAGAGTATAATAATGGTACAAACACCATCATCTCATACCAAAGATCCAATATTTACTGTACCAAAGAAACATTACAAAAGACTAAACTCTTTTAATAAATATGCATAAACAGTCCAATGCTCCATCTTTAAGAAATAAATGATTTGCCTATAACATCAAACGCCATTTTCATCTTCAAATTCTCATCAATCTTCTAGTCCAGACAGATACTGTTTCCCAAGAAAGATTCGGGCTACAGAAATTGCCTGAGACTGATGTTGAATCTTAAGGTGGGAGGACAACCTGCTGGTGTCCCCCTTGGTAGTGCCTAAAATAAGTGCATTTTATTGGCATGTTTCCAGTGCCAATTCCAACACATTCTCCATCATCGTCAGTGTCTGGTGTAAAATTGACACTATAAACATGGGCGGACCCACATGGGGTCATGTGGGGTCAAATGACCCCACAATTTTTTTTTTTTAATTATACCTTGACTTATTTTTATCCACTGATTGGTCTATTCCATAGAATTGTACTTTAATAAACATATAATACTTAGTTTTGTAACTTATCTTTGCTTGATTTGCAAATGTCTATTGATTATCGATACAAAT